GTCACCCAATTAGGCTGATTGGGTGCCTGTTAACTGCGTGGGAACTAGGCTCAATTGAGTTCAGTTGTCTGTCACCCCTTTAAGGTCCTCTTTAACTAATTGCCCAATTAAGAAGAGTTGAGATTCCTTTGGAACAAGCACTGCTTGTTACAAGCAGGGATCAAACTTAAGATACGAGCAACAAAGGTACAATTAAACAATGTGATCACAGACCCCTGAAATTACACAGTTTCTATTTCAGTGTTTTTGCCTGTGTTCCGTGTTGAAATTATAACTAATTAACGGATTTCATCGAACCTCCGCTCTGATCATCTTAATTAAGTAATTAGTTAAAGAGGGCCTTAAAGAGCTATAAAGAGTTCCATTAGAAGGCCGATTCGGAAAGATTGGTGTAAATGGAAACCTCACAAAAACACTACGGATGCCGAGCATGACTTTGGCAGTTATAATAATCATACAACTTTTGCATCTTAAATTTGCACATTTGGGGAAAAACGCCCAATCAGATGACAAAACTTCGGGTTTTTAATGGTTTTGAATGTCTTAGAGTGTTTATTTTATTGTCCGTTCAAAATTACATGTCCGTTCACGCAACGTCCGATAAGGTAGTCCAAGCCCTAGGGCCCTAGCAGCTAGCTACATAATACGAAGAATTTACTTCACTTCTAGATGCTGTTTCATTTAACAGAAACTTCCCAGGCAGCATGCAGTCTGAGAATATGAGGTTGGAGGTGGAGGGTGCGTTGGGAAGCATTGTTGATGAGGCCAGTAAACGGACTACAGATGAGGTGAGATGCTTAGGGTCAACACTAAAGTTTGACTTTTCATGTTTTTTAGATAATTTCAGTTTCAAATAATCTAATTCGCACTTAGATGTACGTATATAATTATATATGTGCACTGTTATTGAGTATCTTTCTAATTCTGCTTCTCACGGACAAAACAACAACTGATAGTTTTTATATTCATGATGAAGAGCGAGAAGTCCTAAATTTCTAATCCCCCAGGTGGAACGGATAAAGTCGGAGAGCAACAAAAACATCTCAATGTTAATCGGGGAGTGTGGGAAATATCAGGAGAGGATATAATAATAGTTGAGTTGGAGGCTGACCTCGAGGAGGCGGAAAGGGTCCGGGAGCAACACCTAGTTACTGAAATATGATCTTTACGGTGAAATTAAATAGTTTAAATTCATGACAAATTAACTGATACAATTACATGACTATTGTAGTTTTGCAACGCTGAAGGCTGGCAGAGTCAGGGACCACCACCGAGGCTTAGTTTTTTGGAGTAAAAATGTGAAAATTATCTTGACGGTGAAATTAAATAGTTCGAGACCGTTAAACTCGTGGATAAATAACCATTTTGATTCAGAACCACAATGATTATTTATCTATTGCTAATTAACAAAGATTAATCACATTATTCATATAATAGAAATTACCTTATCGGACCTTATTTGGACGGACATTACTTGAACGCTGGAGGCCCAAGCGTTCATCTTAATGTCCGTTCAAATAAAGTCTGTTCAATTAATGTCCGTCCAAGTTAAAGTCCGTTAAAATTTTTCAAAAATTTTTCCATTTCGAACTTTTTGTCCAGAATATGACAACTTTGAGAACTTTATTGTGCCATAAGTTAACGACGGAAAGGTTCTCCTTGGTCTGCACTGCCGGAGGCACAGAAAACTCTACTAGTATATGATGTTTTCAAGGGTCACTTGGCGAAAAAAAAGTCAACAAAATTATGGCACTCAACAACATAGTTCATGAGCTAGTCCCCGCCAACATGACAAACTTGTTCTAGCCTCTAGATATTACGGTAAATCGTGTTGCCAAGGACATTGTCCGACGTTGTTATAGTTCATATTACTGAGGGGAGTTAAACTCAATGAAACAGTGCTAGGAAAGCTCTACGTGATGTTAAGGTTAACCTAAAGTTGTCTAAGATAAACCACTTCACGCCGAATGGCTTGTAAAAGTTAACAATGAAATGCAGGACCGGGGTAGTTTGATACAAAAAGTTTTCCACAAAACTAGAAATCACTGATGCTTGTTTAAAAAATGAATTAAAAAATCATTTGCTGAAATTAAAAAAAAGTCAAAAAATTGAAAAAAATTCGGATTTTTATGGTTTTGAATGCCTTCGAGCGTTCATATTAATGTCTGTTCACAATTATGTCCGTTCATGTAATGTCCGTCCAAATAAGGTCCGATAAGGTAGAAAGGTTCTACTTCTTACTGGGCGGCGCTCAGCCTGTCATTCCGACTAATCTCTATTCTTCTATTCATATGATTATGAACATAAATATAATAGCCTGGGGTCCCGGTAAGAAAGGTTCCTGCACATGCAGCTTTCCAATACAATAATCTTTTGTAATAAAGATAAAATCTTTTGTAATAACTGATGTCTACCGTGGTAAAGTTTAAGTACACGTCCTTATTGTCATATTATTACAATAATGCCCCTATTTACTGCGCCATCATTTACCGGGCCCTTTTCCTACCCCTAAATTGTACTTAATGCGCATAATGTCAAAAATCAAATTGCATTTAAGTTAGAGCATCACCATTAGGGCATCATCGCATATAACTTTTCTATGTCTGCATTGGTTCGGGTGATTCATCTTCATCAGTTAAGTTCAAAATGGGTGATCTCACTAACTCACCAACTCTGTTATCTGGATCTACCTTGATCTGGTGACCGCCTGGCAGTGCACGTGGTGCACGTGGTGCACGTGGCTGCAGAATAGGCTCCTGCTCAGTGTCCACAACAGAGTTGTTGGGCAGAATACACACCCAGAGGTCAAGTAACACATTCTTGAAGGATTTCTGTCGAAGGAGAATGATGCTGTTTGCTATTGACATTCCACACAAGAACAAGAGGCCCAGCGCGTAGGATATCTTGGGATCTGCCAGCCCTTTTACTTGCAGTATCTGACATTGTGGGGAGGTGGAGTTGTAGTATGGGCCACATAAAGTGAAGGATAAAGAGAATGCGAGTGGGTAGGAGCTCCATATTACCACAGACACCAGGAAGTAAATGAAGGTTCTCCTGGCTGAGAACAGTTCCTTAACTAAAACTGTGTTCTTTCTGAGGTCCTGTGATTTTGTTACTGACCCTTCTAAAACCGTTCTCGAATCTTCGCTCCTGTTAGCCTTGTAGATGAGCTTTTGTAGCAAGAATAAACTAGTGGTGATAAGAAGTGCACAGAAAATTATTAAACCTGTACAGACGACACTCTGCAACTTCATCAAGCCTATCAAAACAACGCGACTTGCTTTTTTAACCATAATAGAGCACGAGCATATCCAAACCCCCAGTCCAGCTCCAAAAGACAGCACCCAACTACCAAGACAGAGCACTCTTATGTAAACAAGGCGTACTTTACGTTCGTAGAACAGCTTATACTTGAATATCATGACCCTGACCAGGGAGAGCAGGATTAACATGACGTAGGGAATGTTGATTATCCCACCGAATATCAGGTACAAGACACTGTTCCCATAGGTATCTAAACTGTTGTAGCCATGTCCGGTGATGCTGAAGTAACAGAGGGGGATCACGAAGCAGTTGATGATATCCACAGCTGCCAGATTCTTGTAAAGGAGGGCACATTTTTTGTCTATGCTTCTGTTTCTGCCGATGACCCAGAATAGCAGTGCGTTTAGGAATGTGCCGAATAGTCCTGTCAGGATTGCAAAGATATCCAATATCTTAGTCACGTTCATCCTCCTGGGCTTTCGCTAGAGATTACTTTTAATATTATTTGAATTCAAGTCTGGTTGAGTATGATTTTTATCAAAGATAACTATCAAATTGACTTTGACGCAGGTTAAGAATTGAACTTTACAAAAAGCAAGTAGGAAGAAATGAGCCAAAATATAATATCAGATAAGAAGCAGCACTGCTAGTATCAAATTCGTATGTCACCAGAACACATAAAATGTACTATGAAGCAATCTTTATCTACAATTCTAAATATTAACCAATTATCGCGTGTCACATAGCTTCATGGCCCAAGTATTCACCAAAATACTTTTGTATCAATCACTTGAATTGTGGTTGCAAGGCCGAAAGAACACGTAATTCATACATGGGGACAAAATCACCAGTGGTCACCAGTGGTTACCATACTGACCAACATGCCCCTCTTTCGAGGGTGCTCCTCCATGCCTCACTAAATGCCCCTCGTTGGGCCTAATGCACCTCTTTTGGAGGGGCATCAGTATTTATCACTCTGAAGCAAGTAAAACTGTTCAATTCAGCTAATTTCCCCAAAAATGTTCGCTGGTGGTACTGGGATTACTTTCAAATTCAACCGTTAGCACTATCATTTGAGTTTTCTAATTGAGATTGAAAAAATATCTGCAATATGTGTCTGTGCGAAAGTTTATGTTGTATCCACACAAACCTTTTCTCCACACAAACCCTTTCTCGGGACATGGTTGCCTCTACTTTGAAAGGGGCATATTATCATAATTTGTGATAATTACGATAAATGGTGCCAGCTGGCTGTGTTTTACTTATGGGTTGTTGGAGAAAGCCACTTTAAAATAGCAATTTCTCAAATTTTCTAACACTATTTTGAAGGGCTTCAGATATTTTGTTATTGTAGATTTTAATGTGGCCAAGCAGTTACCAGTGCAGTGGTTGCCAAATTGGTTACCAGTGGTTACCAGTACCTTACAGATCTCTTATTCAATAAAAGTTTAAACAATAGTTTTCATAATTTCCGTTCCATTATAGAACTTTAGAAACTGTTTTATATTCTGATCACTTTTATTTATCATGTTTGTGATGGACAAATAAATAAATTCTTGTTTTTATAACTTTATAACACGCTTACCAAGCCGAGAAGTTCGCCAAAACATTTAATTTCAAAACAAAAATGGATGTATTGAATATATTGATATGTGTTTAATTAATATTTAATTTCATATATTGATATTTGATTTCAGTGGTGCGGTCCCCAGACTCGGTCCTGCTGGCTGATAAGGATGCTGTTATCTACAAACTACGGGAACATATTAAGAAGACCGAAGAAGATAAAACGAACCTTACGGGGCCAACTCTTGGAGGTGAGATTGTCTGTATTTTTGTGTTTTTTTTAAATCGTCAGTTATAAAAGCAAAATTTACATCCTATTTTTAAGATAAATCAACGAACATTTTAACCGATGGAAATTAATTCCGACGAAAAGTCTAGAACCAATGACTATGCCTGAATCACGTGACAAACAAGTCTATTATTACATCAGGCATTATTACTGATCAGTATAGTCACTGTTAGTGTTCTAACAGCATGTATTATTACACGAGTTACCATGGTTACAGGTGAGCAACACTCTACGAGCCAGCAAAGAACATTTTGAGAGTAAAATAAGGAGCTTAGAATTCCATGTATCTACCACCAAGGTAACTGAATTATGTTAATCAGTTATTTGTCCTTAATCCGTTAATCGTTATCTCTAGTTTTGTGTGATCAGAGGTCTGTGTTAATAAAAAACGATTTACAGTGCTCACTCCAAGTATGATTTAAATATCTGCCGTAAAACAATGTGTCTTTAATTAACTAATTAGTCAATTAATCATCAATTAATGAGTTGCTCACCTCTCAGGAAAAGTTAAACCGAACACAAGGGGAGAACCAGACGTTACTGGGCGAGTTCACGAACTGTAAAAGTGACCTAGAAACGTTCGAGACAGATCAGAGGACACTGCGGAACAAACTGTCCGATGTTCAGGCTGTGTTGGTTGCTACGGAGAAGCAGAATTGTCAGCAGCTCCGAGAGTGAGATCTTTATATTCGTTTACTCAGTTAATTTATTGGCAATCGGTTAATCGGCTAATTGATTGGCAATTGGTTAATTTATTGGACATTTTCGATCAATAGTTGAGAATAGATTGTATATATTTGTGAAACGTTATCTTGGCGACAATTGGTGTCCCAAAAACATTAAGTTTGATTGACGTTGATTATTTCTAAAACTTAAGGAAATATCTTGTGCAGACTGCAAGAAGAAGAAAATCAGAAGAGAGAGGAGATGCGAGCAGACCAGCACAATATTGTGGAAAGTTTGAGGCAGACCATTTTTTTTTTAATCTCAACTCTTATTTTACTTCGGACATTCCAACAGCCACATTGTTACACAAGTGTGTAACCAGCCAATTACAGGAAGCCGAAGGATTCAATTATACATTAGGCCAGTGACGGTTAAGGTAGTGTGTACCATACTTTCTTCGCCCGAGACTTTGCTGCAATGGGCAGCTCCTCATTTAACCCTCACACCCGATTTCTCGAGTATTTGGCTGAGTGGACCGGGGGGCTGCATAGACCACTCAGGATCCTTAGCTGAGCGTCGACGACGCTCACCCCACGGCTAGTGACAGAGTCGGGAATCGAACCTGGTACCTCAAGCAATACCAGGCCCGGATTAACCAACTGAGCCACTAAGCCGTTAATCGTCCAACAACAAAACGATGTAAGTATTTACTACTATTGTAAATGAAGCAAAATAAAATTCGATCCCCCCTCTCCAATTTGAAAAACGAATAAAACACAGTTATCCGGTTTTTTGAACTCACAATTAATGCAGATTCTGAAATAATTTCTGCACGGTTGTATAGCAAAGTGAAAAGTCTTTTTTTTGTTTTTGTTTTTTTCTCTTTTTTCTTTGGTTTTGTATCTTTTAATCTTTTTTTTGTTTTTATGATATGGTAAGATATATTAACTGAAAATATGCAAATGTAGAATATCTTCGTGTGATGAAATGTATCCATGTCTGTCCTTCTTTATTTGTGTTTCTTGAAAGGATGCGTCATCCAATTCAACAATTGGTCAACTAGTGGTTACTCCATTTCCAACCAGGTTTAGCTTTGTGTAGGTACTTGTTGTACAATATTTGTATGTCACGTGGTGTTACTCAGTCACGTGGTGTTACTCAGTTCACGTTATCTTTTCTCATAACGACACCGTTCTGTGGGTTTTTAAGGTTAACCCATTATATGTAGCCCAATAAATTTAAAAAATATATGCTATAGATTTGTTACAGCGTTTAGTAATTTGGTTTGTCCTCTAGAAAAGGTGGATCATAAAAACAACCCTATCGTCCCTAATGGGTTAATTTAAAGAAAACTACTTCTTTAACTCTTTAACAGTTTACCTACTCGAATAAGACTAATGTAAGATTTTATAAGTTTATATAAAATCGAATTCGTGTAAGACGCTAACCTCAATAACGAAAGGATTTGATTTCAGAGGAGATTCGTACAGGATAGCCCCGTCACTTTTTCGTTGAATTTGAAGAATAGGGTCTGGGCTCGGAGAATGTTCTGCTATAAGAGCTTCGTTTTTCTTTTGGAGTTTTTTGTTGGCAATGATAGTCCAATAGTTGAGACTCTTAGGCTTGCCAAATATGGACCTCCTTTTCCTCACTGCTCCTGGTCTGAACATGATCTTCTTCGCATGTTTTGGCGGGGGAGTTTGTGTCGCTAATAGAGCGTTTGTATTTTTTGGTTGTTGACGCCGAGCAGTCGTTAATGTGGACTTTGCTTCTGGACGTCGGATCTTTGGACCATTGAGCTTGGGCGTGGTAGAGAGCTTTTGAGCAGCCAGTGTTACTTTATGAGATAAGAGTTTGCGAGGACACTCTTTAGGAGGCACTGGGGTGACAGGAGAGGGGTTTGGTGGGAGGATGGTGGGAGTCGAGGATATAAAATCATCCCTTTTCACTTCGATACACAGCGAGTCTCCCTTCTTTTCTATTTTCAGTGTTTCTTCTGTGGCTGTATCCGGCACAGTCTGGTCCGTATTTCTTTTAAGATATTTTAGATTCAATCTTCTTTCCCTCGCAGACGACAGCCTATTAAGCTATTAGCTGTGGCAAAATTGGATCTGGTGATTTCAGGACTCACTGTGGACAGTATTTTATCTAAATAGGTAATAACTCTTTCGGCTTCTGATTGTACTTCCTGGTTCTTAATCTTGTGTTTAGGAGGTGGTCTGCGTGAAGGTTTCTTGGAAGAACTCTGTACCGCAAGTTTCGGGGTTAAAGTGGGCGATGTTTCTTTAACTGCATATTGTTCCATTTTCCGTGGATCCCGACTAATTTCCTCCATTTCCTGACCAGATGTTTCATTCTCTACCTTCTCTTCACCAAAAGACAGTGAAACGCTATCCGATTCTTTGAATTCGTATGGTGACCATTTGGCATTTTCGTCCCCGGAAATGAAAACAAGTTCACCAGGTTCAAGATCCTGAGGGATAAACTTGTATTTGTTGGGCCAGATAAGCTTCTTCTGATGTTTGGGGAAAGGATAGTGACACTTTACCAACTGTACCTTTAAAGTAGTCCCCTTGTTCCTCTCGTTACGGCTTCTCAGGGGTCGTCTTCTTCGTTTTCTTTGCGAAACTTTTTCCATACTGGTCATCTTCGCTAGCGGGTGTCCTTTCTGACCTTTCTTCAGTTTCATAAAGTCATAAGCATACGCTGCTTGTGATAGTTCTTTAAAGTCGGTTTAAAGTCGATCTGACTATGTGATTTTACTATTTCTTCTTCTGGTTTCATTTCTTCTCGTAGTCCACTTTCGAGATCTTTGTTTTTATCTCTTTCTAAAAGTTTCGCTAGTTCTGAAATCTTCTTCGTGGTCTTAACAAAGAATCCGACCATCAGACATGCTAGCAGAATGGCAGATAAAACGGCTATGAAACTGAGTATAAAAGCAACTTTTATTGCGAGGTCATCAGATCCGGAGATTTCTAGAACTTCCTCAATAGGTGATGCCGAAGTAGAATTGCTGTCGCTGATATTCACATACAGTGAACGTGGAACTGGAGCAGCGGAAAGCAGCACTGTGAGTGCCCAGATGAATAGGATAATCCTGGTCATCGTTAAATGTGTTTTTGAAAGTTTGCTAATGTATAACTGTAAACAGTGACAGAGATTGCAACGAATGTTAATGGTAAAGAAAGAATTTGATCGTGTGTAAAAGACACGCGCTAACAGTGAAATAAATTGCGCCATGGTAACCACGATGCCCACGTGTCGAATCGCGCGACGCTATGATTAGTGTGCCTTGTGCGCTGATTTAACCAGATTTACTAGTTGACGAATGACGACTCTATTTTTTGTTTTTCCGTTTTTTCTTTGGTTTTAAAACCTGTGGGACTGGAGGAGAGGACCCCCTAAAAATGCATACCATAAAAACAAAACAAGCGATCTAAACAAGCATGCAATCAACAATTTCAACATTATACATCATGGAATTTTGCTAGATTAAATAAAACATTCCCTCCCCCTGTAATTTAAAAATTTATCCGATAAACATAAACCCAGGCAGCGAGAATCGAGATACAAATATTACAGTCATGACTGTATAACTAATACTATAATCTTATAATCTTATAAAGTTATAATCTCCTTCAAATTCAAGCTTCATCACTGCCAGAAAAGTTACTCGACTTTCACCAAAAGACCAAAGTTCTCTCTTTTCAAACTTTCATTAGACCATGTTCCTTCTAATCCAGTCAACGTAAAACAGCACATCAACACTCATATCATAGTCATAAAGCCCCTCAATTCCAGTCTTCCGGGGAGTATTCCAGCTCACCAGGGATACCAGGGTCCAAGTTCCGTTATCCTGGACAAATAGTGGACCTCCGGAGTCTCCGTACCAGCTAGACATAGATGCGGAGTTCGTTGATTTTTGGCGTAGAGTTCGTGGAGTTCGTTCAAAATTTGGAGTTCGTTAGAGTTCGCTGGAGTTCATTAGTCAATTTTTCAAAAAAAAAACATGGAAAATGTTTTTTAAAAAGATTTTTCCAGTCGATCGACCAGTCCTTGTACTGTGAAATGTACAGTGTACACGCGACGCGTGGTAGAAGTTTCGAGTACCAATATATTTAGTTGTTTTACAATCGTATGTTATGTGTTGAATTGGCTGAATTGTAAATACAATTTCTGTTTAATTTCATTTTACGTAAGTTGTACAAAACGAACTCCTCAAGAGTTCGTAATTTTGGGTTGATGAGTTCGTAGAGTTCGTTGTCACTGAGGAGTTCGTAGAGTTCGTACGTATCATCTATGCAGCTAGAAGCGTTGTTTTTCTAGTGGTGGTGTCCCTGTACAGAGCATTCCGTCTATCCAACCTGATGCGATCATTTCTTCAACAACCTGGGGTTTTAACGTTAATAGCAGAGGAGGATAAATTGTTGAGAAAGAGAATAAAAGATATCTGTTTTGAGGATTCACATCACTCTATATTCTTATATTGACTAAAGATCCCCCTATCGGACCCCCCTCCCCCCCCTCTACGTAACATTTCATTACCGATGCGGGGATACCGCTCTCTTCTGCCAGTTCCAGTCCAACTCCTTTCCAATAGCTCAGACACGTACCCTGATCAGGTAGGACCTGTTCCACTTTCTGCAGCGTGTTTAGTCTACTCCCATCACACATGCGGCCCCACCTTCAGTGGCGTAACTTAGGGCCCCGCAGACCCCGCTGTGCGGGGGGGGGGGGGGGGGGCGCCGTATGAGGGGGGCGCAATTTTCCTGAATTTTAGGCCCTTTCACTGAAAAAACGTCTTGTTTGTGTATTTCCCTGTCCAATTTAGCGTTCGGTCGACGCGAAAAAAATATTTGGGGTACCATTTTTTGCTTCAGGGGGGCGCAAAAAGCCTTAGGGGGGGGGGGGGGGGGGGGGGGGGGGCGAGAAAAAAAGTACCCGACTTTTTTTTCTTTTTTTTTAGGGACACAAAAAATTTTAGGGGGGCGCTTTTCGTCACTGAGCGGGGGGGAGGGGGGGCGCAAACAGGCAAAGTTACGCCACTGCCCACCCTGTAACAGTGATAGTGGTCCTTTCCTCGTAGATACTCCTGTCAGTGGGCAGGGAGATAACACTGTACCCACTTTCCTCTAACTCTACCTCCTCCTCTAACTCTCTAATATCAGCAAAGCGATGTCGTTAAACGGCTCGTTAAACGTTCCATGGTGGTAATCCTCGTGTACTATAATGTGAGATACCCCCATCCTCCTCTCGCTGTCTCCTGTCTCGTTCAAAGCGTAGTCCCCTAAAGTGACAACAATTTCATCCGGATCAGTACTAGGAAGGTACTCCACACAGTGAGCTGCAGTTAGGACGGTGCGGGAAGAGATGAGGGATCCGCCACACCAGTGCGAGCGGGGTCTGTAGGATGAGAGACGTGCCTGTGCGGGACGAGGGTGAAAATCTTAATCGGCACCCAGTCATATAATTATTTTATTTCCGTTTTTAATTTTTTAGATCTTCTGGCATTTTGTGGCAAAATTCTGTATTTTAATGGTGTCCGCCGTCCGTTCATACCTAATTTTGGAGAACAACTTACCATGAAAGGAAATTCTCCTGGCTGTGTATCTTCTGAATTAATAACTTAATAACTTAATAAGTGAAGCAATTTCTACCACCAACATCAAGAGAAGCAGCAGTGTACTCATTATCCGGACCTGAAATAGAATTTTTGTTTTTTTTGTCCTCAGACGTTCAACATATTATCTCAAACTCCATTTGCCTGAGCCTTTGTCCTCTCTTACATACCCAATACTTCCTTTCTGACTCATGTTTCATCTTCTTGCACCCCTCAATTGAAATTAAGACACTTCGTTGTTTTATAGTCAAATTGGAAAAGTAAACGTTAAGTAAGAATCACACACCATGGTCACGTGACGAAAGCAATATTCCATTTATCGATAAACCGTTAAAAGGAACAACAAGGTCAAAGAACCATCGCATAACTGCATAAAAAACACAAGTTCCAGAGAGGGCCATAGATGAAAATAAATTATAATCTTAGCAGATAACAAATTGAAACAATATTCTGATAAAATTAATTGCCTTGCTATGATTTAATTATTGATTTGGTCATGAATATGTGAGATGAAATATTGGCCAAATTAGATTTCATAAAACTTTAATTAGTATTACGGTAGGTAGGGTTGGGTGTAAAACAATACCTGCAACTTGATAATGTGTGGCGAACTCTCTTATCTTAACTTCTTTCCTTTTTTTTCAACGCTGATTCCGATACACCACACATGACGTTACAATGCTTCCCTAACGACCGTTAATTAAACTTGAAAATTAAATAAATAACAAGTTATTAAACCCCAGGTTAACCGTCTACAAGAACAACAATCCCACACGGCCCACCAGCTCTCCTCCCAACAATCAGACCTCAACTCCACCATCAGCTCCCTCACCAAGAAACTCCGAGACCGGACCACTCAACAGAAACACGCTGTATCAGACCTTGAAAAACTGCGCTCCCAGCATGGAACATGATAGAAAGAAAAACTTTAAAACAGAGTCTCGTTTAAAAGCTGTGAACATGCAGCTGGCGTGTGCTAACAACCAAGTTGCCATGGTAACGGAGAATGAGGCTAAGTTGTGTAGCAGGATAAAGGAACTACAGCTCAGGATTGATCAGTTAGAGTTTGATATTGAGAGGGGGAAGTCCTCTCCTGGCGGGGTTCTCAATCACTCTAGTGTCGGTTGGTATTTTGTATTTTGGTTTGATTTGACTGTGTTTATTAATCAATCATCAATTTGTAAGCCTCAGGCCAAAATGCCTTCAAAATCATCAAGGTATTTAAGTATTTAGTATTTACGAAAAGGAACAAGTGATATTAGTAAAGAATGTCAAAGTTATTAAAACTCTCATACCTAAAGTTCTGATGCTCTAATAATGTTAGATTATCTGCGATTATCTATGATTATCTGTAATTATCAGTAGTTAATATAATATGATATAACCATATTCACCAGGAAATCTGATCGAACAACCATTTGTACCGCTTCTGACTTCAAAAGATAGGAGCAAATCCAGTAGGAAGCATGAAAAGAAGGATAGAAAAGAAAAAGACCAAATCAACCAAATATTTTCATCCGATATCATCAGGTGCGTCTTGTTTTGTTATTCAGATCGGGTCTGTATGCGAACAGTTGAAATTTAATCCGTCTCTCCAATACTACATCGATAAATCGGCTGCTGCAATGCAACAAAATTACGTGTACAGACACCGGTAAAGAGATATTATTTATTTGGCTCTGTTTGGAAACCTTTTTTAGTTTAAAACTCACATAATTAGTATTCAGTAGCAATAAAACTGAGCTTCTTAACTTTTAATGGAAAACATGGCCAACATGGGTCATCCTCCGTTTTTAGGGTATCAAGCACATTAAACCCTGCATTATAGTTATACTAGTCATGTTATTATTAGAGACTTTACTGATTGAGCAACTCATTAAAATCATAATCACATTCTCATACCTGTCATCTTTCAAATCAATCCCGTAATTTCAGATCATAGCTACGCTAAGCTTATTCTTTCATAATCATTGATCATTCACAACAAGCAAGATTAGTTTTACTTGTTTGCTTGTGTGATTTTGAAAACAAAATACTTTTTAAATCTTTGCAGATTTGCCGCTTATTATATAAACTCTTAATGTCCACTGTTAATTCTAAAATACCACTCGCAGGTCCACCAGGAAGGATAAAAGTGCTGCCAAGAGCCGTAAAGCTGCCAGCACACCAGTACCACACACTGATAGGAGTGACACGACGATAAAGTTTACTGATAACAATTACCCTGAGGATATCAGCAGGATTAATGAGGGGTGAGGTACGGAGTTATAGCTTTAGTCACAAATCAGATGCCAAATATTCTAAAATAATTTTATTTGGTGATAGATACAAGATAATCGTATTTTACTCATTTGTAATATTATTTCATGATAAAAATGATTTTCACAGGATAATTTTGTTGACTGTTGAGTATATTTGAGGTGACAGTTGCAATAGAATGTCTATTCACATGTAAGCAGTAAGACCTTATCAATGTCATCTGTCCGACAGCGACATCTGTCCGACAGCACTATTTTCTTGTGTTTGAAGTGATATCTCAAATTTGACACATAGAAATTCAACCAAACTTGCACAAATTATTTGTCTTAAAGCTATCTTACTATCTAGTAAGTTTCAAGAAAATCGTATCGTTGGATCTCCAGATATATGCCTTGGTACCATTGCAAATCACCGAATTGGAGATATTTTTTGTGTTTAAAAGGTGATATCTCAAATTTGGCACATAGAAACTCGCTCAAACTTACACAGATTATCCGTCCTATAACCACATACTTTATGGAAAGTTTCGAGAAAATCGTACGGTAGGATCCGACATAAACTATTGTTCGAATAACCTATTTTCTGAGTCGGACAGATGTCGCTGTCGGACAGATGTCGCCCAATCTATTTGAGCTCTTTTACAGTTAGTATTTGAGCTCTTTTACAGTTGGGAGGCACTAGCTAATCGTTTATATTGAAGATACACTTCATGCTAAAGTTGAACTAAAGTAGTAAAGTACATATTATAAGCTTCTCATGGACCCCCCCCCCCCCCCCCCCTTCATCCTCCTACATAGTAGGGGTCTGGGGTAGCCGTTATACCCCTGGAAAGAGACTTATTGCACATCAGTCCCTGTCTAGACTCTAGATTTAGATGATAATCTATCGACCGGCAGTAGCTTTAATCTTCACCAAATCAAACACTTGTCAATACCACTATTATTCAGTCCCTGTCTAGATTTAGATGATAATCTATCGACCGGCAGTAGCTTTAATCTTCACCGAATCAAACACTTGTCAATACCACTATTATTCAGTCCCTGTCTAGACTCTAGATTTAGATGATAATCTATCGACCGGCAGTAGCTTTAATCTTCACCAAATCAAACACTTGTCAATACCACTATTATTCAGTCCCTGTCTAGATTTAGATGATAATCTATCGACCGGCAGTAGCTTTAATCTTCACCGAATCAAACACTTGTCAATACCACTATTATTCACTATTCAGTCCCTGTCTAGACTCTAGATTTAGATGATAATCTATCGACCGGCAGTAGCTTTAATCTTCACCAAATCAAACACTTGTCAATACCACTATTATTCAGTCCCTGTCTAGATTTAGATGATAATCTATCGACCGGCAGTAGCTTTAATCTTCACCAAATCAAACACTTGTCAATACCACTATTATTCAGTCCCTGTCTAGATTTAGATGATAATCTATCGACCGGCAGTAGCTTTAATCTTCACCGAATCAAACACTTGTCAATACCACTATTATTCAGCTATATGGGTGAAGTAAAGGTTTGATTCAAAATTCGATCAAATTTAAATTAAAATATGATTGTCTTAATAATGTGTCTAACAGGAAAATACGCATGTCTCTGTTATCTTCAGCCATTCCTTGTCAACAAAATAAAACTGATCCTGATTCCTGAACAAAGTTCCCAATAGAATTATGTGTGCTCTTTTGTATGTAGTCCTGAAGTATTACATATTGTTTCATCCAAATGGAAATTATCCTAATGTTCAGAATAAACTTAAGTTTAAGATAAACTTAAGCTTTAATCTGGACACTGATCAGTGGCTCAACTTTTAATTTCCTTTTAGTTACCCACCCCTCACCCCTCCCTTCTCTCCCCGTGTAAGAGTTAAGCGAGATCAAAGCTATGCAGTGGGTGTTGCAAGAGATCTTGTCTAGTCTGAAATAGAAGCTATTTAACCATTGGTACTGGTACCCTTATTCTTCAACAAACTTGGCAGATACTGTCGATCGTAGATAGTAGTATTAAAATGGTTCTACAAAATTCGATCAAATATTAAATTAAAGTGTGATCGTATGAGGTACGTGTTTTGATCTTTGCAGGTCGCATATAAAAGAAGCAGTTCATAAAGAAGCAGTTCATAAAGAAAAACTAGAAATTCATAAAGCTGATGAGTGACCGACCCAACGTACTTCACAAGTGCAGAATAGTTGATGTCAACGACTAGGGGGGCTTGGCATATTAAAATCGGTACAGGTTTTTAACCCCGAATCCGATAGCCAAGACATTTGCTGATGATGTCCACTTAGAAATTTGTCTTCTTCTTTTCCTTTATCCTTTATTTCTCCTGATTTACCCAGGACCTGGATTACGGAAAGGGTTTATCTCTTGGTACTGGCGCCTCTTTTGTTAATTTCTCTCTTATTTTATACAGTATATTTTTAATATGTTTTTTTGAGATATATATGAATATTCCGTCTGGTATAACTATTGCAATATTCAGTAGGTCTCTTTTCTTGTATTAATCAAAGTCAGCGTTCTCTTCTATCTTGCAGTCATATTCATACTGTTGACTTTTTGTGTTTATATACCTTTAATTGTCTTCAAGTACAACGTTCAATCTGAATAGTTCGTCCCATTTTTACAAGACAATTTCCGGCGAACTATTTTTATTTTTATTTTTTTGATGTTAAAATTGTTGTGTTAAAATGAATAACCTTTATTTCTCAGTAGAGAAATGACATTTACAGACGAAATATTCGGGGCGATAGAAATCAGTTCCTGCCTTATAGGTGAGACCATTATTTTACCCCAAGAAACATATTACAAATATGCAAATAAATTACTGGCAGTTGGTCAGCTAAAAATTATAAGTAATAAGTTGAAGTTTTTTGTTATGAGACAAAACATTAAATAAAGATTAGATTTGAAACAGATATTTTTCCAGGCCTGGCGCTGAATTCGTTGTGTCTCCCGTCATTCTACAGACGATCAGACAAAGCTACGTTTCTCCTGTACCTGGTGGCAACAGTACCAGACATAATGACCTGCCTCTGCTGTCTCCCCTCTGCTATCAGCATGGTATACAGCAGGGACCCTGTCCTTCTCTCCAGCCCCCCGCTTTGTATCCTCACCGGATTTCTCTTCAATGTGTCCTCCAGAATGTCTGTGTTTGTGGTAGCCACACTAAGTGTGGTCAGATGGATGACTATATGTGATATGGTACCTCGTCCCACGAACCGCAATATTCTTCTCTCCGCCTTCTTCTATCTCCTCTTCCAATTAGCCCAAGCAGCCCTCCCCCTCTTCTTCAGCACCAAGTCTCCCCCATCTACTTTGCTCCCCAGGTAGGGGCATGTTCCTGGGGCCTACCTGATCTTAACTTCCGGGATTACAACACAGCAGCATACAATGTAGTGTCCTACTCCCTGGTTATAATAACCTGGGTCCTACCTGCAGTCCCAGTCTTTATTTGCAGCGGATATATCCTGATGATCACCATCAAGCACCGGAGCCATCTTCAGCAGCTCTCTGCCTCTGTAAACCCAGGAAGCTGGACGGAGAGAGCTGCTGCTATCAGCAAGGCCTCCATAACCATCGTCCTCTACACAGTCACATACGCTGTCTTCAATGTCCCTATCTGGCTCTGCATTTTGGTGGTTCTCCTGAGCGTTGAGGATCACATAGCTTTCATTGGCAATGTGGTGTACGTCAACATATTCCTTTCTCGGCTTAGTGTCGTTATGAACGCTGCTGTGAATCCTGTCATCTACATTTTGAGACTTTCTGAAGTGAAGGAAGACTTAGCTGGGCTGGTTTCAATTGTCACCCAGCAAGATGAAGGACCCAAAAATGGGGATTCCAGAGACAAACCCTTCACCGATAAGAAAAGACCGAGGGCTACGAGAACTAAATTGTAATGAACAGCATTGGTAACGTCTTGAAATGAATCTGTGTTGTTAATTTATGTTTAACTTTAACTATGATACCAATTATTGTTATCATTACATTGTAGGTTTACAACCTACCAGGACGCGCGCCGAGTTGGACTCGTCGAATGTCCAATATATGGAACAGATATTTTACGAGTATCACCCGTTAATCATTACATTGTCATTGACATTAGACTTAGAGCATTATAGGCCTGATCAGAAATCATAGCTTTACTGTTTGTGCTTTAAAAATCTAACATTTAAGAATGGTTTTTTTTTCAAAAAAATACGTTGTTGTTTTGAATATTATTAGATCTGTATATTGGTTTGGAAAACATTGAAAGTTGAAGAGTTTTCGAGACTCAAAAAACTTACTGTTATTGATAGTGTGAAAAAAATTGTGAATTAAAACATCTACAAATTTCATTATCAATAATTATTTGTTGTTCAATGAATCACCGTTCTTGTAGTTGTTATACTTTTAACACAATAACAGTATAATGTTTGATTTTGGTATATTGCTCTGGCCAGCGCTGGCTGACGAGTAATATCGCAAACATTTTGCGCTGGCCATCGCTAGTTGTCGCTATCCAGCGCTAGTTGTCGCTATCCAGCGCTAGTTGTCGCTATCCAGCGCTAGTTGTCGCTATCCAGCGGTAGTTATCTAACTGTTTTCTGCGATGGCCAGTTGCGCTGGCCATTGCAAACTGTCGGGTGCGACAATGTTGCATAGCCGGCGTTAACCAGCACTAGTTGTCGACAACTAGCGCTGGATTGCGACAACTAGCACTGGATTGCAACAATTATCGAACATTTATATTTTGCGCTAGATATAATATCTTTTACCAGCGCTGGATCGATAGCGTGCTAGTTGTCGCCATCCAGCGCTAGTTGTCGCGTTTACACTTAAATCGCAAAAGAACCCGATTTTTCACCTTCTTATTATATATTGTAGGAAGCTAATTTTTAATTTAGGCCCCAAAAATATTTGGCGGCCAAATTCTGAATTTTGCCGGGCAAATTTTGAAATTGGGCCGCCAAATTTTTTTGTAGGCCTAAAACAAAAATCGGCATTCTACATTTACAATAAAGTGGAAATGCGATTTAGAGTCGATTCCGAAAATTTCATGCAAAAATTTTGAAAAATGATTTTGCGAATAAAATAGATAGAATAAACGAAGATACGAGCAAATTTTGTTCATTTTTTGAGGTATTTTCGCCCTATAATCCACATTAAAACAGATATAAAGCTATAACTTACAAAT